TAAGTGTTTTCATGCATTTTTAATTTTTGAGTTGCAAACATGTTTGCTTAAAAGAACCGGTGCAATTTAAGAGGAATCATGGATCGTGATAATTTATTTTGTACATATTTGTAGCACTATTTACAAGGTTTACAAATATCTGCATCAATTTTGATCCTCCATTTGAAAATATGGACATCAAACAACAGCGTCAAAAAAGAAAAAAAATTAGTAGGAAAAAGTCAAACATACCAAACTTTTTTGTAAGTTTGGATGGTGTGGGCGATAAAACTCCGGAGGACGCTCTGCGTGGACGATGGGGGTTGCAGGAAAGAGGATTACCACTCCGAAGGACGCCACACAGTAGGCGAGTAGCCGAGGTAGAATAGAGAGCAACTCGCTTGGGAAGACACCCCCACTATGACACAATGTTCCCCCCGTATGGAAAATATGCACAAGTACTCGGAGGATTTTACACACAATATGGTATCCGAATTCAGTCACCAAAAGTACGAAGGGGGCACACACACGAGTTTATCTTTCATAGACAGAGATATCAAACATTTATTACACGTCGCTTTGTAATTTTACAAATAGAGTCTATTTTATGAAGTGAATGGTGTAACTAATGGGAACTTAAATATTGTGGGAAACTTATTGATATATGTATGTGGAGTATACGGAGAGTGAGAAGAAGCTTGTACTTCTCCCGACGCCAAATCCTCTCTGCCGTGATTCTTGCAGGGCGGATGGTATTTCTCCTTCTGAAGGAGACGACGCTACTCCTTGTCCTTGAACATAATGTATAGAGAAGCTGGAGTCACTGTCCGGACAGTGATAAGAATGTATGGATATGGAGACGAGAGTGATGAGAAGGGAGGATGCATGGTATGCATAATTCCTTCAGGACCCTCGGGGACTTAAGGGTGGTCTCCACCGTTTTCCGGGTGGAAGTTGGAGACGAAGCGGGGGCAGCGAAACCGGACGTTCCCTGGAAGGCCGCACAGATAACAAATTGGGACAGTCCTTCCATTGGGGAGATAAATTCGTAGTTGGTCGGTGAGACGGTTTGAGAAGGGGGAATTTCTCCCGTAAAAGTGATGGTGGTGGGCGATCGTCCGTGGAGCTTGACGCGGGATGATGTCCCGTGGATGACGTGGGGGTCGTGGACGGCGTATTAGTGGTGGACGGCGTATTAGTGGTGGACGGCGTATTAGTGGTGGACGACGTGGGGGTCGTGGACGGCGTATTAGTGGTGGACGACGAGGTGGGAAGAATCTCTGTGGGGTGGGTGGATGAGTTGGTCGTGCCGGAGGGGCAACGTGGTTGTCCTGTCGCCGTGGGATGGTCGCCGTGGGATGGTGGGATCGTATTTTATGAAGTGAATGGTGTAACTAATGGGAACTTAAATATTGTGGGAAACTTATTGATATATGTATGTGGAGTATACGGAGAGTGAGAAGAAGCTTGTACTTCTCCCGACGCCAAATCCTCTCTGCCGTGATTCTTGCAGGGCGGATGGTATTTCTCCTTCTGAAGGAGACGACGCTACTCCTTGTCCTTGAACATAATGTATAGAGAAGCTGGGGTCACTGTCCGGGCAGTGATAAGAATGTATGGATGTGGAGACGAGAGTGATGAGAAGGGAGGATGCATGGTATGCATAATTCCTTCAATGGAACGGAATTTTAGATGGCAAAAATTTTTCGAGATCAGTTTGCAAAAAAATGTGTGTGATAATGAATGCCAAAATATTTTTGCATTAATTGAAACTGTTTCTTTTACGGAGAGAAACAATTGCATCAAATGCACTATTATTTTAAAATTCGCTTTATCATAGTTTAAAGAATTGCCTTGATTCTAATTTATGAAAAAATCGCCAATTTCAAAATCAATAGGTTTCAAATTTGCACAAATGAAAAATAATTCGCGTAAATACAACTAAAATTGAACAAAAATAACGTCAGAATGAGAAATTTTTAGTATCAGGATTATCTAATTAGGAAAGTACAATAGATTTAGCGGAGACATCAAATTATGAATTAATGACAAAAACTTGTGATAAATGTGAATTATTTTTGAAATTATGGAAATATTTGAGTGTTATTTTTGTTAAAAGGGAGAGAACATTTTTTATCATTTATTTATTGCACAGATCTGTATGCAAACATATATATACGTACATTATAAAGTTTATTTTGCACTAGTTGATGGCATAACTTTAAAAAATTTACGAAATTACAACAATCGGCGCCAATTTTAACACTCTATTTGAAAAATGAAAACACCAGCGTTGAAAAGAATTATTTTAAATGTGAATAAATCAAATATACGTTTTAGATACAATCAATCAATTAATTAATTGAGATGAGGATTGGAACGATCATTAATTAATTAATGCAATGAAATAGCGTTTCTTAAATAAACTATCGATGCTGAATAGTTTGCAAAAAAGCAACTGCGTAATAATAAGTTCAAATGTTTGCATGGAATTTAAATTTTGAATTTAGGAGAGAACTATTTCAATACTAGCGTATAGCCCGGCCAAGGCCGTGTTCTAGAGTTCCAGCGGGGGGTGTGCCCAAAGCGAAAAATCTGTCATACTATACTTTAAATAATTCCCAGTGGAGAGTTTGTCATACCACATACATACATCAGAGTGAGGGTTTGCCCAAGTCATACTGCATTTTAATTAATCTGGTCACATGACAATTTGATTTCCCCCTGTGTGAGTAGTTGAATAGCTAATTACTTAAATTCCCGTCGCGTGGGAGTAACTGCATAGCTAACAATTTAAATTCCCACGCTTCACGCTCCCGTTAAGTTCCATAAACCCCGTTAACTTCTACAATTAGATAGATAGATAGATAGAAGATTTATTTCTCATTAGATATGGCCGAGGCCCTCATCATTATAAGGTTACAGAGTTGTACATATGTGCAAATGTATAGATAACCAAATAGGTAGCCAGAGGAATGGAGGAAAAACCCAACTATGGTGGAGAGTTGGGAAAACCTCCATCACCTCTGGGAATGTGGCCCAGAGGTCCATTCGGCTCTGACTACCTGGACACCAGATATGCCAATGAATGATAGAGATCATAGGTAGATCCCATGAGATAGTGGTGATATCCAAATGAGGACGGCGCCGTGACGGCGGAAGTAAGATGAGTGAAGGTTGTTGGGCGGGGCGTCCACGGACCACGAAATACCTTAGCGCCCTCACGGGCACGGGCTACGTGTCCCCTTCACGGTCACACAGTGTGACCAGGGCCGAGCGACTACCCACTTGCCCCTTCACCCCTCACAGCACAACCAGGTCATGGGACCCCCGTAGGCCCGACTACGCTGCCCACCGCCATGCACGACCCCGTCCTCACTCTTCCACAAACCACCCCCCACGGTCACCACCCCGACATACCAAACAATGACCTGCCTGGGGGAGTCCTCCTTGGCGTAGATCCTCCCGTGCACTGGGTCCGGCGAGTCCATCTTCGCCTGATGGCTCAGCTTGTCGTTGCTGGGACGGGTGTGGCAGGGGGTGTCACCAGGCACGCAGGTGGGGGGTGTGAGTGGACGAGGCTCACATGGCGAAAAGGCTGGGACACACTTGACTTGCCCTGGCACACCCGCGACCCAGATGGAAGAGAGAGAATCCAGTTGCAGAGCGAGAGAGAGACACGTTGTGCACGGTTGGAGGCCAAAGAGGATCTCAAACTTCTACAATTAACGCCAAGCTATTGACGGATTCGGATTCAGCGTCAAAAATACATTCGAATTGATATGCGACATCACGAATAAGCCATATTTGAACCCCACGGTCACGGGAAGGTCACGGGGGCCTCGCAGGTCAAAACCATTGGCGGCGTTGGATTCAGCGTCAAAAATACATTCGAATTGATATGCCACTCGCTGTGTGTGGAGTTTCTCAAACTAAAATAATTAATTAATAGTGATTATCACGATCACTTGTCATGATAACCACTATTGATGAGTGATGTATGTATGTATGTATGTATGCATGTATGTATGTATGTATGCTGCTCACTCAGTGTACATTTTCATGCATGTATTCTTTCATGCAGTGTGGTGGTGGTGGTGGCTCCGCTTTTTTCTTTGTCTCCTCTAATCCTCTCCTCATTTGCATAATTCTCCACAGGCAGACAGCCAGCCAGGGAATACGCTGGGTCTTTATCAGCGAATACAGATCACTTAAAGAAGGATGAAGATATGGTTATTGTTTCAGTATAGGGAAATGGGGTTCCAAATGCTGTGATTGGCTGACGATTTTTATGGGCATCCGCCCATAAAAACAGGGCCGTGGCACAACTCAATTTTTCCCAATCTCAATTTTCCCATTACTTGGAAATCTCACTCCTTTCTTGGCACCAAAATCAGGTGTCTCCTTTACCATCATTCTTGCTGCCAAACTCGGAAAAGCTGAATAATTAAAAGATTATTTAATATCTACAAATTAATTTTCTGACATCCACTCAATTACATAAATCGGTTCAACTCACCACAAGTTAAGCTCTAAGCTTCAACTCTCGGTAAGTAGTAAAAGAATTACTATTTTCTTTCAACAATGAACGGTGGGGACACAAATATGGTGGTGACACGTTCATTTTTACGAGTGATTTGGATGTTAATTTATTGCGATTTATTGGTACAGGTAACTGCTAAGGACAATTTTTCATCCATTAATTTTGCGACCTCTCTGCCGTGCCCTTACCAGAAATCTGTGTCATCGCCGGCCAACCTGGTTAATAACAACTTTAACTGGATTCTGCAGCAATAAGGACCAAGGAACTTGTATTTCGTAATGTACTATATTTTATTGAAGTATAGACTCATCAATTACCATTAGTTGTTGTTCGTGACCTGGTAACAGTGTGAAATTGTCGGAAACTTCGTTAAAGTTTTACAAGATTCAAAAATAGTTTCCCATATAATGAACGGTGAATACACATATATGTAAGTTCATGTATGGTGAAAACACGCTCATTGTTGGAAATCAAGTTCCACTAAATTTATTTTTGTGAATTGCAGATATAATATTTGTGCCAATTGTTACTCAATATTGTGACCTATTGCCCCTTCCTCCACCAGATCCGTGTCTCCACCGGTCAATTTATCTGATCTATCAGTGTGCGTTTCTACAAAGCAAATTCAAATTATATCTTCACACCCACTCTTTCGCTACCAATGAGCAGTCGAACTAAAATGTATTAATTTTATTACAGGTTCACCTATTTGGCCAAACAAGGGTACTTAAATCAATGTGACTTTGTCAAGACTATTAAAAAACTTTCAAAACTTCGCTTAAGGTAAATTTTATTTTGATCTTAAAAATAGTTTCTTTCCTCTAGAATTAAAAGAATAATGAACGGTGGAGACACATTAATATGGTGGAAACACGTTCATTATTGCAAGCAACTGTTACATCAATATTTCCTTGTTATTTTGTTTAATTACAGACTCATCAATTACTATGAGACCTTGTTCGTGACTCGGGAATAGTGTGAAATTCTCAGGAACGTCAGTAAAGTTTACCAGGTTCAACCATAATATTAAAATAATAGTTTCTTATCTCCAAAAATTAAAAAAGCAACGAACGGTGGACACACACATGTATATGGTGGAAACACGTTCATTTTAATTACAGATTTGCCTTCATGTACACAAATTCAGTGTGACTTTATCAAAACCTTCTTCAAAATCTTCTTAAAATAAACAATTAACGGTGGAGACACATAAATATGGTGAAAACACGTTATTTGTTTCAAGCAGGTTTCAAATTACTAATTGCTTGTTATTTTTCGCAGGAAATCCAGTTGCTCAAAACATTTATTTGAATTTAATAAACCGTCGTTTGTCACGGTCCGAAATATAAAGTGTTGCGGTACTAATTGTGATAATTCTTGAAACCAAGAAAATCGTAATTACTCCTTTCTGCCAAAGCGTCAGGTACAACTTCCGATGCAAAATAACTCATTTCTCTCATTCTTTTTTCCTCTGATAGCTAATTTTAGTTTTTTAAAGGTTCCAGCAGTGGTGTAAAATTCTCGACATCGATAAGGAAAACGTATCACCTAAAACTGTCGTTTGCAGCAAACACTTTTAGCCACCTTCAAGAAATTTCTCAAAGAGTTTTACCGACCTCTCCACCCCATTTGTGTCTTCACCATTGTCTGTGTCTCCACCGAAAGGGGGGTGGGTTAATTTATCCTTTATATGAACAAGAAGATAAAGATTAGAAATAAGTTTCACTACAGTTTGAAGTAGAAGAACCAGAACCACATTCAACTGTTTCCATTTTCCTTATATACTCAAGGCACGAAAATTATTGCTACTATTTATAATAAAATATTTTGCAACCGGGAAATTATTTCGATGTTTGTAAAATTAAAGTAAAATTGTATTTATGCTAAATCAATTTTTGTTGCAATAAATTTGGTTGTAAATCTGCATCACAACAACTTTCAGTTTTTAATTAATTATTCGAACTTAGAAAGTCGCAAAAATTCTCCATTCGAGATGACGAAAATCTGTACAAAAATTAAGTCACATTAAATCCTGAGCATGGTTGTAAAACTGCTCTGACATATCTTGTCGTTAAACTTACTTAATAATTGATGATGGTGGGTGGGTGTGGTAGACACCGAAGCACGAAAAACTGTTTTTTTGTTCTGGGACGTAAAATATAAAGTGTGATGAGAAGAGATGGTAAAGGGTAAAGTGAGACGGATGGTGCGCAGCGAGTGCTACGGCTTCATTTATGCGGCATCAAAAATACATGGAGAAATTTGAACTGCGAACCAGCCAATCACATCATTCCAGCCCCGTCCTATACTGAATAACTAACATTGGAACTGTTTATCTCTATAGGATACCATGATCGTTGGGTCTTTATGAGTAGTGATCATTTAATCACAGGTCGTGACAATTTACAAAGTTTACTAAATTATACAAATACGAGTCAATTTTAATCCCTATGTGATCACATTTCAGAGATCTTAATAAAAAATGAGGAGAAATTGTCAAAATTTTGAAAAAATCGATCACATCCACGGGTTCTTGTAACCATTTGAATTTTTTTGCCATACAGAAACGTACACCGAAGTACTCCTCTTTCCATCAAACATAAAAATGGGCTGAAATTTCCTCCCATTATATATTTTTTTAAATTAATTTATTACACAAAAAAGAAAGTTAAAGACCTGAAAATAATCAACATGCTATACATATTTTCAGAAACTTGAAAACGGCAAGAAAATCTGACATTATATCAATCAATTATAATTTTAGATTTAACGGAATTTTAGATTACTTATGTTTCGAGCAGTTTACAAAAATGTACGCGATAAGTGATAATGGATGCCAAAATATTTTTGCATACATGTACCTAAATTGTTTCTTTTGCGGAGAGAAACCATTACAGATCAAAATCTTTTTTTAAATGGATTTAAAAAATTGTGTTGTTTTTAATTTTTGAATACAATCGTCAATTTCAAAATCTATGTTTCATTTTACAAGATTGGAAAAAATCTGCGGCAATAAAATTAAAGTTGAATAAAAATAACGCCAAAACGAGAAATTTTGCAGTATCATCATTAGCGAGTTATAGAAGTAGATTCATATCTTGGAGCCGTGAAATTATTAATAAACGACAAAAATTTGTGAAAAATATAACATTTTTTTTGAAATTATGAAAATTTTTTAACGTTATTTTTGCTAGAAGGGAAGAAACTTTTATTATTATTTATTTATTTCACAGAGCTTTATATAAATACATATATAAAGTTTATTTTACACAAGTTTAGAACATAATTTTACAAGGTTTACGAAAGTACGTCGATTTTAATCTTCCATTTGAAAATGCAATTAACACCAGCGTCGAATAGATTTATTTTGAATGTTAATAAAGCAAATGTAAATTTTAGATACGAGTCGAACCGTCCTTAATTTATTATTTAATTCAGATGAGGATTGGAGCAATTGTTAATTAATTATTTAAGATAGATATGTATATACAATGAAATAACGTTTTTTTAAATTAAACTACCGATGCTGAATAGTTTGCAAAAATCTGCGTAATAATAAATGTTAAATTTTTGCATGGAATTAAAATTTTGAATTTTGGATTAGCAAAAAAAGACAACAATAATAGCATATATAAAATATAAAAAAATATAAAATATAAAATAAAATATAAAAATATAAAATATAAATAAAAATAAAATAAATAAAAATATAAATAAAAATAAAATAAAAAAAAATAAATAAAATATAAATAAAAATAAAATAAAATAAAATAAATAAAAATATAAATAAAAATAAATAAATAAAATATAAATAAAAATAAAATAAATAAAAATATAAATATAAAATATAAAAATATAAAATATAAAATATGAGAAATAACAGCGTCGAAAAGAATTAGTTTAACGAACCAAATAATTATAAGTTTAAGATATAAGGCTTCAATTATTTTATTTATGAACTAACGATGCTGATTAGATATTTCTAAAAATCTATTGTATTCTTATGAAAATCTAAATTAGGTAAAATTTCACAATTTTTTTTTGTGCACTTGTTACATTTTGGAAAAATTACGAAAGCAAAATTAGGCTACCAACGCTTGTTCATTATCCATATTGAGAACACAATTTGTAGCATATGCAATCTAAGTAAACAACTTCCACATTTTGGGAAATTGCGAAAATTGGCGTGAATTTGAATCGACCGAAGATCAAAATATGAATAACACCAGCGCCGCAAAAGATTATTTTTAATGTGACAAAACCAAATACAAATTTTAGATATTTTAATTGCTGAGTAGTTTGCAAAAATCTTTATATTTAGTATCCAAACTTTTACATATATTTGAATTTTTTGAGTGCGAAAATGTTTGCAAAAATTAACCATTATAATCTTAGAGGAATCACACATATCGTATGATAATTTATTTTATTGCAAGGATGCAGCACTATTTTGACACATTACAAAAATCCGAGTCAATTTTAACCCGCTACTTGGAAACACGAATAACAACAATAGCAAATGTTTGTATGCAATTAAAATTTTTAATTTGTGAGTTTTTGCAAAAAGATAATATGTAGCTTAGAGCCGCACAAATCGAGATAATTGATTTTGTATACAAGTTTGTATAATACTTCGTACCGTACTACAAAATTTACGAAATTACAAAAGTTCACCTCAATTTTAATCCTCTGTTTTTATATAATTTAAATATGCTCATTGTTCAAAAAATGAGGAGAAAGGATCAAAATTCTGAACTACATCCTTAACCCAAGGGGTTTTTGTATATAGACATTCGAGTTTTTCTTAGCATTGGGATACGTACACTGAATCTTAAAAATGCATCGTTTTCTTATCATTATAAAAATGGACAGGAAATTCCTGCCACGGATTAATTTTTTTAAGAAATTTGTGAACAAGAAAACTTTCACCTGAAAATAAACCATTCGGTATGCATATTTACAGAAAATTAAAACGGCGAGAAAATCCGGCATGAAAATCAATCCATACAAAAAATATGGAGGTGCGTTTTTTGGAATTTCGTCTTAGTTTTTCAACAAATGTAGTCTTTGCGTATTTTTGAAGATTTCGATTGATATCAAGAAAGATTTCATCTGGAATTTTAATATATTTCGCACAAGGTGGTACTTCTTGTCGTACCACAAAATTCACTGGATTATAAAAATCCATGTCAATCTTAATCCTCTACTTTTATATAATTTAAATATGCTCGCCCATTGTTCGGACCATGCATTAAGCATGTGATTGGTTTCAGAGATCATACCTTTATCTTAGCGTACGAAAAAATGTGAAGAAATTGTCAAAATTTTGAGAAAAAAATCGACCACATCCACGGGTTCTTGTACCCATTTTAGTTTTTCTTAGCATTAGGAAACGTACACCGAAGTACATTTTCTCTCCTCGTTCCATCAAACATAAAAATGGGCTGAATTTTTCTGCCATTATGTATTTTTTTTAATTACGCAGAACAGGAAGTCCACCTGAAAATAAGCAATTTGATATGCATATTTTCAGAAAATTGAAAACGGCGAGAAAATCTGACATTAAAATTAATCCGTGCAAAAAAATAAGGAAGTGCGTTTATTAGAATTTCGCCTTAATTTTTCGACAAATTGGTCATATATAAAAAAATTGTGGGCGTGGGCGGCAAAAAATGGGAGGAATTATTATATAGAAACATTGAACTTTGTTTTTTTCTTAATTTTTAAGACAAGCTTTACTTGTACATTTTGGTATTGTTATTTCATAATTAAATATTTTAGAAAATTGTAAACGGTGAGAAAATCTGACGCAAAATTTCATTCATAAAAAAATTGAGTATGATCATTGAGTGTTTTTTTTGCAATTCAATTAATATTTTCGTGATAAATTAGTCTTATATAAAAAAATGTGGGCATGGGTGGCAAAAAAAGGAGGAATTATTATATTAGGGGTTTACAATGCGAAGACTTATAAGTGTACCGACCACTTATAAGTCGTTTCCACTTTTAAGTGACACTGCGCGAGCATGCGCAGTAACTAGTATTTCACTTATAAGTGATCGGAAAATAAGTCTCCTGGATTGACTTTTTTCTGGAATAAGACACTTATTTCGCTTGTTTTGAGCATCAGCTGCCGTTGAAATTTCACTCACTCAAATTTGCTGTAGGGCACTTGCTGCTCAATAAATTATTTTTCAATCGAGTTTTAGTCGGTATTCAAGTTATTTAAAATAGTGTATAATTGAAATTGGTTTAATTACGATAGTGCAGTGAAATATTTAAAATCGGGATTTCAAATGAGAGTGAAGATTAAATTTTCAACCATTCCACGTCATAAATATCATGTAATTGATATATTAGGCAAGAATTCAAAGGTTGTACCTAGTGTTGAAATTTTAGGTATTTTTAAAGCTAGTATGTTTGTTTTTGCAATGATTTTGACGTTGAATGCAATTCGATCGCCTGAATTGCATACAACATAAAATTTAAACAAAAAGTGGAGCATTCAAAGAGCACTCACTTATAATTGATTTATAGAAATCACTTATAATTTGCGGGGAAACAGAAATAAGTCGATTGTAAACACCTATTGAAACATATTGAACTCTAGTTTTTTTTTTAAATTTATGACAAGGTTTTCATAATATTCTTGCTCAACCTTCAATTTAATAGTTTAATTTGAATATTTCCAGAGCATTGCTAACGGCGAAAAAATCTCACAGATAAAATTGTAATCTTGAAAAAATTGAGTATGATGCTTTTTTGTGATTCAATTAATAATTTTTCGACAAATTAGTCTCATATATAAAAAAATGTGGGCGTGGGTGGAAAAATGTGAAAAAACGAGAGGAATTATTACATATTATGAATAAATCAAATATAACTTTTAGTTAAAAAATGTAAATTTTGCCAGGAGTACATATATTGGCCAAATTTTCAAAATTTATCTTATCCACATCCATTATCGCTTATCCACATCCTTCCTAATTTAAAATTCTGATTATATCAGCCTTGACAATCATCTGAAGGTTCCATGCACATAATTCGAAACAGTTTATTATTATAATACGAGATCAAAACTATACAATTTCAGGTTAATTTCGTATCTGGAAGAAAGCAAAAGTTGCACATTCTTGCTAATAAATTTCACTTTCAATTACACATATACACAGAATTTTAACTTTATCCACTGCTCTTAAAACCCACCAACCTTAAACAATGAAATCAAAAAATAATTGTAAGGATTTTACAGCCTAAATTTAAAATCGTTTCTTCCCTTTTACAAAGATTACGTACGAACGTACGGTAAAAAAAATCCGTCTCAAATTTACCCTTCATTTTTCAACCCACTTATTGCCCAATTTTAGAAAGAAAATAATTACGCAGTTTACGAATTTTGTCTCATTTTCCCAACGTTTCAATAATCTTTACATTCAAATCATAACGACCATAACAAAAAGTTTTTTGTTTCACGTCCAAAACTACTTTTTGACTGGACACTGTCCACCTAATAAAAGGATGCAAAATTTTGCCCCATTTTCTATTTTAGACACTCTTGGACATTTTTCGTCTAAAATTCTGTGTCCAAAACTAATTAAAACCCATTTTTGAATCCTGTTTTGGACAGTGGTTAAATTAAAACCACAATGAAAAACCCTGACAAAAACAATCATCTCTTCCTCACAAATTTTTGTCAGACCAGACAAATTAAGTAATTATATAGGTACATCATCATTATCACCATTTACTTTCATATTAATTAGTCCCCATCATCACCACCACCACCACACCTAAGAATAATTGCTACCAGATGGCCATTATTTTACAAATAATTGGCTAATTAGCCCACTCACCCCTTTTTTCTCTCAACGTGGCCCAGTTGACCAAAAAATAACAACCAAATAAATCATGACACAACGCAACGCAATCACCGCATTTATTTAGGGTAATAATTACAAATATGTGTGTGTGTAGATGTGAAGGTGAGAAATAAAAAAAAGTCCATCGTCACTCTTTTTTCCCCGATGGGAATTCGGTCAAAAATTCGCATTGTTATTTCCAACCGGTCCAAAAGACAAAGACAAATATTAAAGTGTCAAGAATATAATGGGGAGATGCAAAAATAAATGCGTGTCATTTTATTACAGATAGCAGATTCACCCTTAGAAAAATTTGGTACCACGTGGTTCATGCGTGATGAAATTTTACTCAAAATGTTTAACAAAATTTCAAAATTTGATTAATAACCCGATTAATTATCGACAAATTTGAAAATTACAGATATTTATAAATAACCAAGAAATCTCATCTCTTAGGAAAATTCTGTACCACGTGATCCATTGCGATTATATGAAATTTTGGTCGAAATCATTAAGAAAATTTCGAAATTTTATTATTAACCCGATTTGTTTAAAGATTTTAAATGTTTATAAATAACCTATAAGTGCGTTGCAAAAATTTCACAATTTCTGTTATATTTCTGAGTTCTTATCTTATTCTGAGGAAATTCGGTCGGTACCAAGTGTCATGGGAGATTCGAGTATGAAATTGTATTCACAATTTTGAAATTTTGTTGTCAATTTTAACCCGAGTTATTGACGAGTTCGAAAATTTCAAATGTTTATTAATAACGTAGACAAAAATTTCCAAATTTCTGTTACATTTCTGAGTTCTTACTTTATTCTGACCTGATTTTTTTCTACGTAAAAAATTAATTAGGAATTTTGAAACAATAAAGTCTGTTACTATCCTGGAGGGAGACCCGTTTAAGTCTGTATAGTAATTTTGCTTATTTAATTTACAAAGTTTACGTAATTGTACAAATACGCGTAAATTTCCAAAATATGAATATTGATGACGTCGAAAGGGATAATTTTTATTGCGAAGTAAAGAAATTAAAACCAAAGATCATTAAGAGATTCGTGTTAATTTAAGTTTAGTGACGGTTTAATTAAGTCCCTAAATGTAAAAATTTTTGCATTCATAGAATTCAATGAAATATAGAATTTTTAAGTTTCCGAAGTACTAAGTAGTATTTTTAGCACCTTTGCAAAAACTGGTTTGGTCACTTTTATTTTCAAAAATTCCGTCTTCATTTTACGAAAGAAGAGTTTTAATAAACTTCGAAATAAATAGTTTATGTCGTATCAAAATAAAATATCGAGATTTCCAAATAATGTGGCCTTAAAGTTTACAAGGCTTCCTAAAAATCTGCGTGATTTGATAAGTAGTCTTGAAATATTTATTTGCATTCATGTGAATTTTAGACTTGGCAATTTCCATTTATGCAAAATATATATTATAACAAAAGTTGGATCTTTGAAACTGTTTTAAAAAGTGGGGTTTTACTCTAATATGTGCATTTTCCTTTTATGAAAAAAACTGACAAGTTTCAAAATTAATAGTTAATTTAAACTTCTTGGCAAAACTGATCTACATATTTAAAAAAACTGCATATTTGTAACATGGAAATCTTAAATTCATTTTCGTAATTACTAAAACTTTAATAATGACGACTAAATCTACGCGATCTAGACTTTGACTCATTATTTTAGAAAACTTGTCTCAAGGAAAAGTCAGATACACTCCAAAACTATTTTATTGACCACGCTCAAATTATTAGTCAAATTACTAGTTAGTTATCAAATTATCACAGAAGTCCCATAATTTCTGACAATTTCTCACAAGTTCACAATTATTTCACATTATCCAAAACGGTATCGAGATTCCATACATATCGATAAATGCCACAGAACTGTGTGGCTAATTACTTTAAAATTAAAATTCTAAATATGTGCATACTTAACTACGGCATAACTTGTCAATGAAAGTGCTAAACTGTAAATTTAAAAACTTGTATTTCCACATTTAGTCCATATTTTACCTATGTAATCATTTCACTCATACAAACTCCAATGCGAAGATTTCGGTTTTAGATTATAAATTTTCCAACTATTTAAGCACAATGGTGGTCTCCCAGAGTGTGCTCACAGCCAAATTTTGACTACCGTCTAGTGTCAAGCGATTCCAAATTTAGTCAATATGAAATTTGCAGAAGACACAATCTCCCAATGGTCACGACAGAAACAGGTATTTGCATCCAAAGAGGAGAAAATGCGAGGAAAATTTGTAAAGTGTAAAATTTGTCAACTTTACGAAGCTTTTTTTCCTTTTCGGATGAAAATATCGGGAGAACTTATCTTTTTCAGAGTTCACATTAATCCGATTTATGCTCGATTTACACTTGATTCTGGAGTCAAAATCATGCTGGGAGACCTCCATTAACCTTGACTACTAGGTTTTCATTATGAAAATCCAATTTTAAGCCTCCATTTACTTATCATATTGGATTGCATTCATGACAAATTTGAACCATTCATTTACACAATTGCAAGTCTCATTTTCATCACTTGACGATAACCCAACTGCGCAAAAAGCTGATAAACGCTGGATTTTTCGTTATGGTGGAACAGGCATCTCAAAAATTGACAGTCTTCGCCAATTAGTCAAATAAATGCAAAACATTTTATACAATCGATTGATAAACTAATATAATTTTGCAAAGATATGGATAACTTATAATGGAGGTCTTCCAACGTATGTTCACAGATTTACGCCAAAAAAACTAGTGTCAATCTATAACAAATTTAATTAGTATGAAATTTGCAAATGACACAATCTGCCCATGCGCAGGTTTGGCAGAGATATTTGCATCAGAAGAGGAGAAAACAGTAAATTTGGAAAGTGTAAAATTTGCAAGCCTTTGGGTGCGCGTTTTGCCCTCTTTTGAATGCAAATATCTTTGCCAAACCTGCGCATTGGCGGATAGAGTGGTTTGCAAGTTTCATACTAATTTAATTTGTGAACGATTTGGTCAAAATCTATGAGCATACGTTGGGAGACCTCCATTTTAAGCAGGCAGAGGTCCTTGGCGAAATGTCACGAAATCCCATGAGCACTCGAGCAATCAATTGATCCCTGTCAAGCATTTGATAAGTCATATGTCACAAATCTGCCCTTGAAACCCGACAATATTTTTGCTATCTATTTAATATCTACTTCAAAAATCCAACTTACAACTCGACAGCCAATTAATTGTTAACAAATCAAATTAACCACGTATTTATCTGGTCCATCCTGTACATCTATGTATAAAAAAAGGACTTTATACCTTCTTAAAATGGGCAGTGAATCAGGCAACCTTCTCATTTAGACCTTGTCATTTATAAAATTAGCAAGGTCCATGAAACAGCTCGAGTAAAACCAATCTGTTCAAAATTATGCATATCCGCCTTATATTGACGCTGGTAACCGTGCTGTGCGGTCCCGGGATTTTGGGTAATTACATAATACTGGTTTTCAAAATCACGTATAACGAGGCAATTCACGCAGTTCTTGGTAACATTGTAAAACCCGTAAATTCTGTAAACTTACAAAGTTTTACAAACTTTTATCAAATTTGGCTTGAAAATGAGCTTACAAATTTTTGTACGTTACAGTCATATTGGTTATAACCCTTCTGCCCAAAAAGTCCTGTTTTGATAGGAATCGAGCGTGCACGCGCTCTTCCCAACTTTTGCACGAAATTTTAAACTTTGTCCTAGAGATGCGAAATTTGGCATGCACATGCACCAACATATGCTAAATCATAATATAACATCAATTCCCGATCCGTTCGCTATAAATTTTTCAGGAAAAATCAAAAACCAAATGTATTCAATTTGGTTTTTGATTTTTCCTGAAAAATTTATAGCGAACGGAACGGGAATTGATATTATATTATGATTTAGCATATGTTGGTGCATGTGCATGCCAAATTTCGCATCTCTAGGACAAAGTTTAAAATTTCGTGCAAAAGTTGGGAAGAGCGCGTGCACGCTCGATTCCTATCAAAACAGGACTTTTTGGGCAGAAAGGTTTGTACCAATGAATGTGTGAACTACTTACTACACTGTAAATAAAGTTTAGTAAAATTGCCACCAAAGCAACTGTTGAGCAAAATTTACCCTGACGAAGGTAAAATTTACTCAAAGTTGAGCAAAAATCGTTGAACCTTGAGTAAATTTGACCTGTCTCAGAGTAAATTTTACTCAATAATTGTTTTGGTGGCAACTTTACTCAAAATTGAGTAAATGTTAATCAAATTAATTTAGTAACTTAATATATTAATTAATTTGGAAGTCCGATTATTCCAGCCCTGCGATGCTACCAGTGTGCGTATCCAACCAATACCAACTGCCTCAAGGGAGTAACTGAGTTTGAGTTGGGGACATGCTGTAATTAAACGATAAGCCATTACTTGTCCTAATATTAGCGAGGGTGTTCATTTCGTTAGTAAAGTTCACAAAAAAAATAAACTTGGGAACGATTCATTTCGTTAGTAAAGTTCACAAGTTGGCAAAAAATAAATTTCGCAAAAAATTCATTTCGTTAGTATCAGTAAAGTTTGCAAGTTCGTAAAAAAATAAATCTCGTAAGTTCGTAAAAAATAAAGTTCGCGAAAAATTTGGTTTGCAAATTCCACATCTCGAAGGGTAATATTTAATTCTCAAAATATTGGGCGTACTCACGACAACGTCTTATTTCGCATCGCAACTCATTTAGCAAACTTGCAAAGATCAAAATATTTCTGTCGTGAGGGGATTCGCAAAATATGACTTCGCAAATCTCGCAAATCTACTAAAAACACTTATTTTGATGCTGTTTCCATTGATTTCTGTAATTTCTCTTCTTGGAGATGGTGATGAGGATGCGTTTGCGAAGTAAGAACATGCCCATTTGCTGGGTAAATTTGCGAAAAAAATCCTATGGTTTTCCAGCAAAATTTTTGAGAAATCTCGCATATCTCGCAAAACTTCGCAAGTTATGTTGCTATGCTCAATTTGCGAGATATGCGAAGGTTGACGTGAGTACGTTCATTATTTTCAAATTTATTTTGCGATGCGAACCCGAATTGAATACCCTCAAAATAAGTTATAATCATTGGCTTCTCATCCTTCCCCCCTTTTTAGCGGTCACTGCGGAATGGTGCTACATGGAAGTTGCCAAAGAATTTGGAAGGGTTGACGTGACCCGAGGTTGCATGCATGACACTCCCAATAAAACGGAAGGCGTTGACTGTGTCTATCAGCCGGGAAATGTCAAAACGATATGCTATTGCAGCGATGAGGCGTGCAACGATAGGGACCCCGGCGTTACTGAGGCGCACGCGGAGATTGCCGCCAAAATAAACCTAATCGCTTTCATTTCCGCGCTTTTACTTGTATCCGCGATCAATTACAATTTATCCTTTTAACCGTTTCGAATAAATCAAATTCAAATTGGAATTTTTTATTTGGGAGGACATCAAATTAAACTAAAAAAAATACAAGGTTTCGCTATGCTTTCATTTAAGCAGTTAAAAACAGCCGTCCAAAATCGGTTGTAATCAGTTTTGGACACTAAATTTTGGATGTTCAAAATAAAAAAGGGACAAAACGTTACAAGTTCTTCATTCTTGAATCTCATCTGGTAATTAGAAACATTTTGGTGTGTAATACGGCATGATTTCGAAAATTTCTAAATTTTTCGTAAGAAACAAGTTAAATAAAAGTTATTCCAAATTTCGTGGTGTTACACGCCAACCAAAATTCTCAAAATTTATGGGATATGACATATCTGTGCATAAATTTGCATAAGTCGCTAATAAGGAACTTGCACCATTTTGTCCCATTTTCCAATTTTGAACGCCTCTGAACGTCCTAAATTATTTTGGACACTTTTTGATGGAGTCCGTCCACTCCAAAACGAAACACTGCAAGCTTTGTGAAAGAAATGCATCATCATAATTTTGCCAGTGGCTATTTTTTCTCGGAAATCAATTCTCAAAATAAATTTTTCAAAATTAAATTGCAATTCAACTCACGATAATTGAACTTCATTTGATGTTAGTAATCTAATGTTATGAGATAGGAATCTCTGAAAAACCGATGCTGACATGATGGTCATCCCTCTGGTCATTTCATTACGATTTTGATGCAAGGCGATGACAGCTCTAAAGTTTGCAGATCGGGTGATAAAATCTCATTCGGACGTCGTCATCGTCTTCATGGGATGTCAATCCACCCATCAATCATGTAGCGGTGAAGGCACTCTTAAAAATCGGGGATACAATTTTACCACGAAGTGTCAGCCTATCATATGATCTGGTAACGAAAAATGAACAAATTTGTAAAGATAAGCTACAAAATTAATAAGAAAATAAAATTTTTTTTAGTAGATAAAAAGACGAAATAAAATAAATTTGTCATCAATTTGGATAAAAATTGGCAAAATTGGTGACAAAACATGAACAAATTTTTAACGAAATAATACCAAATTACTAATTAGTAGTGCCAAAAATTTCCCAATTTGATAATAAAAATTGTCCAAATTGATAACAAATCATAACTAAAATTTACAAAAAAACACAATCTTATTAAATATTTGGCAAACTGAGTATTTAAAAATCAAAGTATTCAGAAATCACATTTCCAAAAATTTTATTTTAAATTACAAAGAAAATCTTCATCTGAAAAATTAATATTTCATTATTGGCAGAATGCATGATATAAACGCCGAATAAAATACTTTAAAAAATTAAATTCCTCTAATTTTTTATAGATATTCTATTTTACTGGGCAATGGATACAAAAGTAACGAACAGAGTTACAGAGTTAGTAACAAAGTTAAATAATTGGTAAAAACCGTGACCAAATTTATTTACAAAACTTTTACCAAATTTTTAACAAAAAAAATAAATCTTACTCATGAATTTTAGGAAATTTACACAGTTTACAGGATTACAAAAATATGCATGAGTATGAAAATCTGAGTTACGATGGCGTCGAAAGGAGTTAATTTTAAATACGAAATACTATATTCATCATTTTAGATCGTCTATTTCGGTTTGGGAACAAATTCTAAAAATTAGCGATAAAAAAGTTACAAAATTCCGCATGATACAAAAAATGGAAAAGTTTTGTCTTCTAAAATTTTGAAATTATCAAAACGACACAACCTCACCAAATTAAATCTTTTTTTTTCAAAAATACGACCAAATTCTTACCCAAACTAAAAACAGTAAATCTTTTTCATAAAAAAATCAACCAAATAAAAATTACATAATTCCCCGTGATTTATTCCCCGTGAAAAATTTATATCCGAAATATTTCAAATTATCAAAACGACATAACCTTGCCAATTTTTTTTAAACACGACCAAATTTCTTAATCAAATTAAAAATAGCAAATCTTTTTCATAAAAATTCACCAAAAATTCTCACCCCAAATTATTTAGGGTGTCATTTAATAATAATTCTACCCCCAATCCCACATCCATCTTTTCCCAGATGGCAATCTCACCATCGATACATACGTAATTATTGTCGCACAGTGACAATAATTATAATTTGCGATTACGGCCCATTCTTCATAAATAATAACGCGTATCTTGTATCCTCCCAGTGACACAGCGGCCTTAATTAACTCTTTGTCCTCCCTCCAAAAACAAACACGGCGAGAAGAATGCCAGTCTAATTTCGAACTGGGCTGAATTCGGTAGTTTATTTTCACATTCTTCTTTTTTTGTTCCGATTACAATACAATGTTTAACTTGGTTTTTTGCTTGTGCAGATTCTCGTTTGCGGTTTTATTTGCAATACTTACCCTTTATTAGTATTATTACATGCATAGAGATAGACGAACGAGGTGGGTTAAAAGCTTGTAAAATTGTGGGTATAATGAGGGTTGAATTCAGGTGTAAATTCTGAAATTTTCGAAACTTGGGACAGATTTGGTTTAAATATTGAGGCAATTCACGTCAACCTTCGTAACCACGTATTTAAACTTAGGAAGATTAGCTTCCGAACCAAAAAACATGCCTTACATCTTCGTAAGGTTTTATAAGTTCGTAAGCAAAAATTAGCTTCGAGATGTTCTTGTCACGTGTTCGTATTTTTTCGTAAGTTATGGAGTTACGGAGGTTGTCGTGAATTGCGTATTCATGGGCTCATGCCTGGTATGCATCTTGTAAATATCTACAGAATTTTTGTATTGATCATTCATAGTTTGAAATGGTGACGAATTTTGAATTATGGACGAAAGAGGGCTTGATTTCGATGAGAACTTTTAAAGAAGTAAATATTGTTTTCGCCGATAATTCCAAAATCGTCACCATTTAAAAGTATGCATGTACATCGCCTTTTAAAATTACGAGATGCACACCAAAGATAAGCCCTTATCTTGTAAACCGCACTGCCTGATTTTTTGTGCAGTTGCCATCTTCATCTTCAATAATAATGTTTACACGGTTTACCATTTACACGGTGGATTATTTTAGACGGCTTGTTAAAGAGACAGGTTATACGGAGTGAGAGAAAGAACAAAGGGACGAGATGAGACGGACGTGTGGTTTTCTATAGAAAAACAAGGTTTTCGATTTTCTTTATGAAAAGATGAAATCAAAATTCTCTCAAAAAGGTCCCGTTTTTAAATGTTTGTATGTAACAGGTTGGGACGTGCGGGAAGGATGCTGCCTTAATTTTTATGGTGGCAAATAATTCAGAAACAAAATTACAGACAATTATTTGTTACCGGATTTGTAACGAAATTCAGGTTGTAAAGATCTACCTGGGAATAAATCGTCGGATGTGTCCTTAATTTTTAGGGTCACGTCGTTTTCGCAAATAATTCAGTGACAAAATTGGGAAAATTATTTGTTGTCGAATTTTTGCAGCAAAATTTCTGCCTGGGAGCAAGTCATTATTACCAACATGGTAATATCATAATACGCAATATGCAGCGTGCTTGGATTTTGTGACAATTTTGTTACCATATTAAATACTTGATTTTGAAACGAGGCACGACTTTCAAAACTAAACTGCGTGATGATTTTGATCATTTTGTGGTCGACTTGATAGTGGCATTGAGAGTGAGTCTTAAGCGTGGAAAATTGGCAAGTTTGTGCAAAATGCATGTATCAATTTATGTACCATTGAAATTTGCAATTGGTCACAATTTTCCTATCATTTTGAAGAGTGTGAAAACGAAATTATATTAGGTAGGTTGCGAGTTAGCGGGAGTTCACGTAAACGCTAACGTAAACGTAAAATTTGGCGTTAACGTTTACGTTTACGGGGTGCACGAATTTTGTGTGTGCGAATTAACGTGCACGTAAACTTATGCGCTGAATTTGAATTTCATTTCAATGGTTTGTTCGTGCAAAATATTCTTCATGCAATATTTTGCTTATTGTAATTATTTAATTTATCTTATTATAAACTAGCTTGAAATGCCAGTGTTTTCAAAACAAATAATAAATTTACTCTCTGAATTGACCGACTTCGAAATAGAGGACATTCTTCCTTCAAATAATTAAAATTAATCAATTAAAAGAATTAAAAATTTTAAATTAAACTCAATGATGAACGAGTTCTTTTTCCTTAACTTTCACCTTTGCAAAATAAGTTTGAAACCTAAATGCGCCCTTAAACTTCGGGGCGCGATTGCTTGTCGGCGGAAACCCTTTGTGCATTACTCTAAGGATTGCATATCCCAACAGGTAAGGGGACCATATTTTATCAATCTAGAGCAAGTCAATTCACTAAATCAGTTAATTATTTCATTCACAGATACGTCGACTTGATGTAACTTTTTCCTCCTACTCATTGCAGTCACGGATTTTTCATCACGGCAGCCAAACTTAGGATAACTTTTGTGAAGCAATGCCAGATCTTGAGCATTATTTATATTTTCCATGAAATTGTGTGTATAAGAAAATCTAGATGCCATGTACTAAGGCTTTATTTCTGTATTGTATAAACAATAAATTTACTTGTTTCTAATTAATTCAAATAATGCTTTTGTTATTTCAGCTCTTCATTTTGTGTAATATCATTCACTTTTCCTCCATCGAAGCTTGACGTTGTTTTGATAAATAATACTATAATAAATTACATAATTACTAATTAATTTCTTAATTTGCAAACTGCTACAAAAGCAAACAGAAGATTTATTTAGTTAGTTTAACTTAAAGCCTCGTCATTTTTTAATCCTTTCATGAGAAATTATCAGTTTATTTTTTGTTTTAATGCTTCACAATTAGTTATATATCACTTCAATTAATTATAAACATATATTTAATGCATTTATCAATAATTAACGCAAAAATACATGCCTGTTGTTCATTTTTCTTAAATTTGCATGGTGAAAAAACTTTACGTAAATCGTGGGTGGTTACGTTAAACGAACGCTAAATGGGCTGATTTAACGTCGAAAATAACGTGAACGTAAAGAAAATTCACGTAAACCTTAAATGGGCGCCGCCGAACAGTGGCGGGAAGCAAAATTTTACGTTTACGTTAGCGTTTACGTGAACTCCCGCTAACTCGCAACCTACAGTGTCGGACAGATCTCTACGTCCACATAGTCGCGTCAATTTCATTTTCAAATTGTCACTGAACTACTGAACCAATTTTCATCATTGATATATCTAATTCTCACAAATTTAACGTAATTTCATAAAACATATGAGTTATTTCTGAAAATTCTGGGAAAACTGAGAATCATAGTGCAGAGCGAGAGAGGATGAAATTTGAGCGGACAAAAGTCTACGTCCACTTCACTTTAATTGTCAACAACAAAAATCTCTCCAATTTATAAAATCAGGTAACTTAATAAATCTATCAATAACATATGCCGCATTAATTTTTAAATAATTTTCTTCCAGAAAAATATGATGGCGTCGACACGCAAGGAAATTCCTATCGCTATTCGAGATCTTGTCATTCAGGACTGGAAGGGTGGACAAAAAGGGGGGCTGTCGCAGAGACAAATAGGGACCAAGTATAAATTAGCAAGGACAACCATCCAGACAATCATTAAGAACTTTAGAGCTAATGGTTCAGTCCAAAACAAGGTCAGAAGTGGTCGAAAACCGATTTTGGCTCACCGAGAAGTACGCCACGTGCTCAACAAAGTCAACGTTACACCCTCACTTAGTGCTCCAAAGCTATCTACCGAGATCAAGGAGATGTTCGGCAAACAGGTTAGTCCTATGACCATCCAAAGAACACTGAATAAGGGAAATTTGAAATCCCACAGAGCAGTCCGGAAGCCTCTTATTGTACCGAGGAATGCAACCAAACGAGTGAAGTTTGCCAGAGACCACATTTCCAAGCCACAAACATTCTGGGACAGTATTTTATGGACTGACGAGTCAAAGTTCAATGTCTTTGGGTCAGATGGGCGTCGTAGAGTGTGGAGATATCCAAAAGAAGCATTGAATCCAAAAAATCTCAACCCCACAGTTAAGCACGGCGGCGGGTCGGTAATGGTGTGGGGATGCATGGCTTCAAGTGGGGCAGGAAAAATGGAATTTGTTGACGGAATTATGGACCAATACAAGTACCAGGGAATACTTGACCGTAATATCCAGGAATCTGTTCGAAAACTTGGACTTGGACGACGATTTGTCTTCCAACAAGACAACGATCCGAAACACTCTGCCAAGTCCACCATGGAATACTTCAAGAAAAAAAAATTTCGAAGCTAGAATGGCCTCCCCAATCTCCAGATTTGAATCCCATTGAGCATCTGTGGGACCACATTGAAAGAGAAATAAGAAAACAATCTTTTTCAGGAATTCCGGCCCTAAAATCCAGAATTCTTGAAGTTTGGGAAACCATTTCTGAAGATGTGACCAAGAATTTGGTAAACTCTATGACTCGACGCCTTGAATCCGTCCTTAAAGCGAACGGAGGCCCAACCAAATATTAAAAATTAATTGTTATAACATTCCTTATAAATTACAGTTTTTTTTGTATGTTTTCTCTGACTGGACGTTGACTTTTGTCCATCCAATTGTTTTCATTTTGAATTAAAATACATCTCTGGCCTAAAATAAATTTTTTAGCGGAAAACTAATAATGTGCTATGAAATTACGTTAAATTTGTGAGAATTTGATATATCAATGATGAAAATTGGTTCAGTAGTTCAGTGACAATTTGAAAATGAAATTGACGCGACTATGTGGACGTAGACATCTGTCCGACACTGTACCTATTTATTTTGTAAACACGTTTTTTTTTAAGTTTACACGGCTAAATGTTTTTTACGTGAAAAGTTTAGTGGAAAATTGAAGCTTTCTTAGAAATTATAAGTTTGCATAATTATTTTGATTCTTTACTTAAAGTACCAACTTAGTGCCCTAATAAATTCCAATTATCAATTTTGAATTCAATTTATTTTGCATAATTCACAATTTTGCAAAGTTTACATACTTATTATAAATGCATGAAAATTAAGGGCCTGTAAAAATAGAATTTTCATTATTAGAGGTTTTAACAAACATGATTTTACAAAGTTTAGCGTAACCAAATTAAATATAACAATAATTAAGTACATAATTATATACATAGATAATGAAAATTTTGTACAGCTAATTGTCCATAATTGATTTTTTTGTAATTTATTAAGCTGTTTATCATATAGATGTCGACGTACTATTCTTGTCGTAGTTCATCCTCACTGGAAGCATATAATTTTTCATAATTTACGCTAATGGTTGTAATGTACAAATAAATGTAAAAAAAATATTCAGTTCATTTTGTTAAACAACTTCCTACATATTTTTTGTAAAATTGTGTATCCTTCATAATTTTATAAAGCTTATAAAATTTCAAAATTTCGTTTCTATTTCCTCAAAATTTTTATAACTACAAAGTTTTAAAAGTAAAATTATCAAATTCGCTAAATGAAAATTATCTCAAATTGAATAAAATGAGTAAAATTTAACAATTTGTAAGGCTAATTATCCATTATCGATTTCTTTGTACTTAATGAAATGATAACAAAATTTGAGATTGTCAAGCTTGGTCCATTCAGCTAACAAAATGTATGTGAATCTCTGTGTGACAATTTTTTAAATTAATACTTTTCAAATCACAAAAGGCTACTGAAAGCTAACAATTTTTCACCATTTGCATAATAAATTGGGTTTTTTTTATGAAATTTTAGGAAAATTTGGAAACATTAATGTATAAATTCTTGTTTATACAGATACAAAGTTTAGTGTGAAGTATCACATCGGATTCAACTTAGGAGGAGAGCTTCACCACCTGCCCCTCTCAGATCTTGATGTGCTTTGCATATGTGGTAGGGTCCCATGAGTGTACTATAACCCTGAAGTGGTTTGACTCCATGGCCACATTTGCGCCCGCCACACCCACTCAAAGGGATGAAAACCACAAAACTTACCAACTTCAAAAATCCACCAAAAATCCAATTTTGATCGGATTTTGATAAAATTTACATTTTTGTAATCTCAGATACTTGTGTGATCATATCCAGTAGCAATCTCAACTTTTTTGAAATTTTCGAAATTTTCGGGCATTTTCGGGCTGATAAATTATTCGAAAAAATTCAAAATTTCAAAAAAGTTGAGATATCTATTGGATATTATCACACAAGTATCTGGGATCACAAAAATGTAAATTTTACCAAAATCTGAGCAAAATTGGATCTTTGGCGAGGGTTTGAACAAGCGAAAACAGGGCTTTTTTCGTGTTTTTGGCGCTCTTGAGTGGGTGTGGCGGGCGTAACTGTGGCCATGGAGTCTAACCACTTCAGGGTTTTAGTACACTCATGGGACACTACCACATATCTAAAGCACATCAAGATCTGAGAGGGGCAGGTGGTGAAGCTCCCCTCCTTAGAATTATCAAATTAACCAACGATAAGAATCTTTTTGAAATTAAAGTAACATAATTAAAAAACATGTATAGCTAATTGTCCATTATTGATATTTTTGTAATTTGTTAAACGATAGTAAAATTTTAGATATTATGGCAAAGAAAAATCATTATGGAACAATCTTCAAAATTTATGCCAATCTTTGTGCAACAATTTTTTTAATTCATATTTTTAATATTACGACAATCTACTGAAATCCAACAATTGTGTAATAATTGGGATTCTTTCAGAAATTTTTGTACAATTTGGTAACATTAAATAGTAAATTCCTGTTTACACAGGTACCAAGTTTAGCATGAAACATCATATATCAAATTAACCTGCAGTAAGAACTATCGTCAATTAAAGTCACATGCATAATTAAACAATTGATTAGCCTAATTGTCCATTATTGATTTTTTAAATTTGTCAAATAATAAAATTTTTGTAGATAATATGTACAAAACGGTTGTATATTCCTTTAGCTCAAAATTTACGCCAATCTTCGTAACTTTTTACAGCAGTTTTATAAATAATAAATACTTATCAGATTACAAATGACTACAGAAATCTAATAACTTGTCAACCTTTATATGTATATAAACTGGGATTAATTAAAAAATTGTATGGCTAATTATCCATTGTAATTTTTTATCAATAATATATACATTAAAATTTCAGATTAATTATGATTTTTAGCATGACCCCAAAATTTACGCCAATATTTGTAACTGTGCAACAATTTTTTGTAATAACAAATATTCTGAACGTTACAAAAGACTACTGAAATCTTAATTTTTCACTCTTTGTATAAATTGGGATTATTTCAGTAATTTTAGGAAAATTTGGTCACCTTCAAAAACAAATTCATGTTTACATAGGTACAAAGTTTGGCGTGAAATATCATTCCGTATTCGAACTTGAATTATTAAATTAAACGTCTATAAAAATTATTTAAAACGAAAAAATATAATTACAAAATTTGCATGGTTAATTGTCTGCTATTGATTTTTTTGTATTTTGTTAAACCATAATAAAATTGCAGATCCACTCCCACATCGGTTGTCGGTTGGTACGAAATTGAACAGTGATTTTTGCTATCTCCAAAATTTACGCC